AATAGATATTTATAATATACCTGTAAAAATCTAATGCACACAATATATAACAGGCATTAATGTATATACTAAAACAGATCTGCTATATTCAAATATATTCTAAGTACATTTACTAAAAATATATTTAAATATATTTTCTCAGCTCTCCCAGGTGTGGAGAGATGCCCAGTGGGACTTGGGATGAGAGTGTGGCACCTACGGTTGAGCGAGCCACTTGCCTGCAAGACTAAACAGCTAAAATGTTCCAGACCTTGCCCTTGCCGTGCCTCAGTTTCCCAGTGTCAGTGCAGAAACGATGCGGATGGGGAACGGGCAGCACTCAAACCATCTGCAGCAAATGCTGATCTCGGCTATCCCAATCGCTATGGCCTCTTAAGGGCAAGAGAGGGATGAACTCAGCCATCCTCAACTCAGGCCAGCTGGAGACCTTCTCCGGGAAGCTGGCATTAAAGGCAGCCCCTCATTTGCTCTCCCACCCCTCCGACGTACCACTCCGAATATGTGAGAGATGTACTGCATGCCGAACTGCTGGCTCTGGGGCGGCCAAAACTCGAGAAAGCTCTCCACATCGGCGCGGAGCTCCTTCTTCTCCTCCTCACCAAAGCTGTCCACGTGGTTCTGCAGGTCATCAATGGAGACCAGGCAGCCCTCTGCCAGCCCACTGCCTTCCCTCTCTATCTTCCACATGATGCGGGCAGCCAGCCTGGCCAGGAGAGAGCCCCAGGCGTTAGCACCACCACCCACTGCAAGGAGAGGGACCAAAGGACCATCGAAATTCATTTCATGGGTGGGAAATTGTGTGCAGACATAGAGACAGACAGACTGATGGCTGGTCACCATCCACAGGCTTTTGAAAGGGAGAAAGATGCCAGGTTTTGCCCCAGCATCTAGGTTCTCATCAGGAGAAGTGCTGCAGACCCTCGGGTCCTCAGCCTTCCACAATGGCTCTCATTTTCTTGGAAATTCCTCTTATTTTCTTATAATGGAGCCAGGATGTGAATCTAAATCAATGTGTCCTATAGACAAATAGGGGAAGAGCGCATCTATCTCCTCTTCTACTTTTCTACCTACTCTCCATTTTCTCACACCTCCTAAACCACCCCGGGGGGTTTGCCTCACCACGCTCAGCTGCGGTAGAGTTTTTCAGGCCCAGCACCAAAAAAAAAAAAAAAGCAGAAGCATGACCCCCTCACACCCCGGATGCCCCTCCAGGTCTCCATCCCATCAGCTCAGGGATGGTCCTGGCCTTTCCCAAACCATCTCCCACCTCCACCTCGTCCAAATCAGGCCAGCCGGCTCTGCCTCACCGCCCTCGGAGGGAGGCCCCGTCCTCTCCCAGGCTGCTGGCTCAGCCCCTGGGGCCAGCTCTCACCTGATGTTTTCGGTGGGTGCCTTGCCGTGCTTCTTGATGGCAGAGCACTCGTTTTTGTGGTTCAGCCAAGCCGCTCTCTGGCAGGTCCGGTCGCAGTAGTAGGCGAACTTGCACTGGCCGCAGCGGTGGAGCCTCTCCTGCCGTTTGAAGCAGGTGTGACAGATGACGTGCGTCAGGCTGGAAGGACAGAAGGACCTGTCGGCTCGCACCTCGGTGAAGGGCCGGCTCCACACAGCGAGGGTCCTGCCATCTTTGCGCCCCTGGGTTCCCCACACCCACTAAGGACCGACCCCCTGAGATTTTTTGGGAGGATGGAGAAACCTCCCACCCAGCTTAATCCTTGCGCGCTTGCCCAGCGCTGTTGCTTTTCTGTTTGACTACACCGAAGAGACAACTACTTTGTTTGAAGGAGGACAGCAATAAAGCGTTCCCCAGCTCTCAGCCCTCTTTCCTGCAGCTCACCTGCTCCTCAGCACCGCCGCTCTTAACAGGGTTTTCCGTCTGTTTTCGTTTTCTGTCTGGCCCATGCTGGCACCCATTCGCTGAGCAGAAAGCAGATGCCTAATGAGAACGTAGCTCAGGCGAGCACGAAGGAGAACATGAAGGCGCAGGGCCAGCCTGAGAGCTTCACCTGCCTGAAAAGTCTCCAAATTTGTCTGAAGTGAAACCCCTTCCAAGCACTACAGCTTTCCTGGGCCCTGCTGGGCCAGGTCACAAGATGGGGCAGCAGCCACCATCATGTCTGAGACTTAGGAACACACTGGGCGAGAGGGACCAAACTCTGAGTCGTCCTAACTGCTCTCCTAAGCTTTCCTTAGGCACAGGCACACTGCGGGGATAAAAATATATATAAGAATTGCTCTGCTAGTGAGGAGACCACAGGTGTACCACACTGAAGAAGAGTGATAGATCGAAGTGGTTACATAGGGAAACGCTGCATTTGTGCTGCTTGAAACCAAGATACTTTTCCACGAATTAAAAAGAAGCTTTGCTTGTCACTTCTTTTTGTCACTGGGCCAAAGGCGTAGCCGTACTGGAGGCATTGCACTTGGCGATTGTGGCGTTGGGTTGGAAATGACATGAGGAAGCCAAGAGAACAGCCTCCTTCAAGGTAGATCTCATCACAGGGTGGTTTATGTCTTCTCCTCCTTCCTTTGGTTGCGGCACATCTCCTGGCTGTGCACCATCAGCAGAGAGCAGCACAGAGCCCCAGACCAGGTGGGTTTCGAGCTCTACTGGTTCCACTGACTCCAGACAGATGCTTAGCATGGATTAGTGAAGATCTGAGGGACCAGAGCAGGCTCCCAGCCACTCAGCATATCCCCAGGCATGACTGCCAAGGAAGAAGCGGGCTTTCAGCTGCCCGAGGATGGACAAGAAACACTGAACACCTGAAGACACAGGAAAGATGAACCCACAAGAGCTCGCAGGAGCACTGGCTGGGGTCGGACATGGGGTGAGCTGCTGTAATGCCAAGCTTAGGGAGCAGTACTTGCATTTATGACCCCCATAAGATTTTATTAACAAACCCAGAGGATCTTCAATTTTCACAGTAGGTATGTTGCTGAGCTGAGAACATCAATAATTCAGTGCTGGTCGGTGGCCCAGAATATGCCCCCACAGGCGTCTCATTAAATGTTGAAGATAACAAGCACAGTGCCTGATGTGAGGATGTGCTCTGCTCCCAGGGCGTGAAGTCCTCTCTGCTTAGTCCAGCATCAGCTTAGCACTGTGCTCTTTAGACCACTTAGAACCTTCCTGCAGATGGGCTAGCGATGCAGACTTCTCCTCCAAATCCAAAAGCCTGAGGTGTCTTTCTCTGGTGCCAGAAGGAGTAAGTGCTGCTCAACAGCTATTCCTGCTCCTGCGTCTGGGTTTTAACTAGCTGAGAGGTTACCGTGAGTTCAGACAGTCATGGGATAACTGGGAAACACCTTTCAAAAGAAGCAGGTGTCGTCTTTGGGGGATGTAAAACAGGATTTACTAGAAGCATCCTAAAATTGTATGTAGTTATAACCAAGGCCAGGGGAGGAAAGTATCAGAGGATATTGATGAAGTCTAACCTCATGTTGTCCCTTCAAGAGTATCCAGGATCCCAGACCAAGGGGAAAGCTCCCCCATGTGCCCCTTTCTCATGTCCAGCTGCTTGCTCCTGGGACTTGCTTCACTGGGAAGAGGAGGGAGACACTTTGGTTTCCTGCCCAAACAACTTTGGAACTTCTCCCCTGCTGCCAAAGACTTTTCCCTGCCTGATTTGGTGTCCCCAGCTGCCTACTTCTCCAGGCAACTACCCACTTTACCTTTGCCTCCAGCCAGGCTCGACAGTACGGGAGAATTTACGTTCCCATCACTCAGACACTGCTGGTCCCAGGAGGGAGGTTCTCATTGCAAAAAACTCACTGACCACAGAGGCTTCATTCCCAAGGGAACGTTATCATCGCTCGCAGCCCATAGTGCGGAAACTGGGGCACAAGGAAATAAAAAATGTACTGATGACTACACGAGGCAGCTGTGCCATAGGCGGGAATCAGACCCACGGCCCCCGGGTCCCCAGTCACAAAACTGTCCTGCCTCTTTGCTATACAGATAGATATAAAAAAACATATGTATGTGTATTTATATCTATCACAGTACACATAAAATGCACCTTCATTCCTCTGGCACTATTGCATGAGCTGCCGACACAATCTGCCCTGCGCCTTGGCTCTTGCAGGATAAAGAGGGCCATTGATTTAAAGCAGAGGGCCATTGATTTAAAGCAAGACGACCTACAGTAGAGAAAACCACATGCAAAAATGAGCTTTGGAAAATGACAGTGAGCAGTGCTGGGACACAGGAGGGAGCCTGACGCAAGGTAAGTGCCCGAGATGGAGCAGGCAGAAGCACGTGTCCGGGAAGGGGGATGCAGCCAACTCCGTTAAGTCAAATGAAAGAGTTGGGAGCTGGTGAGAAATGCGAGGCTGTGCTCTGTCTGTGCTCTGTCAGCTGTCAAGTCGGAGGGGCAGAGAGGTGCAAGAGAGATTACACTCCTTGTAAGGCAAAGGAGAGCCAGAGAGCTGATAAAACCCGCGTGGGTACGTCATGCCGGGAACCAAGGGGAGATATCGCGCACGGGGAATGGGGCTCCCTCCTGCCGCCTGCGTGTTTTGAGAGCAGTCAGAAAGAGAAAAGGCAGTTGAAAAAGTTTCCTTGTAGAGAGGAATGACAGGTCGGAGGGGAATATGGTGCAGCAAAACCCAGGTCCTCAAACAGGCTTGTCTCCCCCCAGCTCGCTCTCTGAGAGCAGAGCAATACTGAAATGTTAGCTTGGCATTTTGCTGTTTATCGCATAGGGTGTCCAGAGTTTCCAAAGCAAGCCTAGCTGGTGGAACTTACCACCAGCCCTGGAAAGCCCTCATTTCTAAGGAAATGCAAAAATGCACAAAAAAATGTTATGCAAGTCTTCCCAAGAAGATGAAGGAACAGTTCATGTGGTATTGAAACTGCAGACACAATTACCCGTAGGTAATCTGACTGGTATATGAAATATCACATCTCTCACAAAACCCTCACGGGATCCTCCGTGCTCAGAAATGGTTTAAAAGAAGACTGGATTTATTGATAATGTGCATTAGCAGGACTCCAGAGGCCCGGGCTCAACTCTTGACACAGTAAAAAAATCAGGAGACACAGGTACTTGAGATCTATCGCCTAAATCTTCAACAAACATTGCATAAGCACTGCCTGACCCTGCAAGTACCTACATGCCCCAGGTGCCTCTAGGCAGTCCTGCCATCCCAGAGGTGCCGAGCCAGGCTCCCCGAATGGGGATGGCAAAGTGGGGCTCTCCCTTGGCCCCAGGGCTGGACCTTACACAAGGCTCTGGTACCATCTGTCCTGGAGGTAGACAACACCAAGGACACCGAAGGCTTGCAGTGATCCACAGTCTCCACTGCCATCCCCTCTGCAATGGTTAAGGTCCCCCAAGGACAGGGAGAGCAGCCGGAGGTGAAACCCAAGTCTCTCAGCCTGTGGAAATCACTGATCTATAAAGCCTTCTCTGTCTGGCCTGGAAAGCTTTTGTCACAACCCGAAATGGCTCCAGGTGGCCTGGATGGAGCTTGCTCTCCCTGGAGAGAGAGCAGCCCATGCCCGCCTGGTCAGGATGCGGCATGGCCAGGCAGCACTGAAGGTTTCTGGGGAGATGTATGGCACCTACCCAGGAGCTCTGGAGGTTTGAACCCTTACAGACTCAGTGATTGGGTTCCCTTGCTTTAACACGGGGACAATAAAACTGCTTTCTGCTGTGTCTACATACACCATGGCCTCTGGGGTGGTCTCTGGCCATTCATTCACTGCCATCTTCCACAGATAGTGAGAACTTCTTTTTTAGATCCTGCCCAAAAGCAGGATCTTCATTAGCACAGTGATTTCTGCAGCCCATCCAAGCCCTGCCAGGTCAGGGATTTAGGACTGACTTGGGGGGCAGGTATCACTGCCTGACTCACTGAATGATCTTCTGGGGAACCTCCAGTTTCCTTGGCCCCTCATCCAAGGGTCAACCAAGCTGAACTCTTAGGAGCTCATAAGCTCTGGTATTATGTAGATGAGACACACAACTACTACTCATCCTGGACGTAGCTACAGTCACAAAAGCAATGACTCAATATACCAGCCAACAATGCAAGAGGTCACTCGCAGCTAAACCATGGCTCCCACAAGCACAGCTCTCAGTGAAAGCAGAAGAAACAAATAGCTCTTGTGACTGCTTGGATTGGATTCAGATGGATTAAGATCTGTTGGACCTGCCAGGACAGAGCGCTGAGCACTGCCACAGGAAATATAGCAACCTCAACTCTGAGACATGCACAACCCAAACACCTGCCAATCATTGCCCATCCAGCACCCATAGCATCTCATTCACTGATCTGGAAAAGCAAGGTGAGATGGTTGTAGTGCAAAGGAATAAAAGGAGGATTTCATTGAATAAATAATGGACATGATGAGAAGCTCACAGATTATTTAACGTGAGTTCATTCTATTCTGTACATCATAGACGACACACACAGATGACCTAACTTACACCTAAGTCCACCTGCTTCATATTTATTGTTGGCTGGCTAGGCATCTCTCTCCTCAACGTCTTACAGAGGACGGCATAAGAATAGCCTAAGATGTAGGCAAAGTCCACTTGGCTT